AAGGTGAAACTGTAGCCCAACAGGGAGTTGAGGGGAGGGACAATCTCTATCTTCCTGGCCATGTATGCCCAGAGGAGAGAGCCCAGGGTAGCACTTCTGGAACACGGAGCTATGAGGAAAGACGGGGTAGGGAGGTCATGGCTCAGATGTCACAGACTCTGGCTGATTTTATATTTAACAGTAGATCTTCTTGAATGAATATTTCTCCATTTGCTGTATGTCCTTAGGACAATTTCCAGAGATTTCAAGTGATTGATTGTGGTTTTGTTTTTTTTAAAACAATGTTCCCAATTTTGTTCTGCTGGCGAGAATTTCCCCTGAGGTCCTTACTCTTTCACTCTGGAAGTTCTGCTCCTCTGCCATCTTGGCATGCTTTTTGGAATAAGAGAGAAAAGAGTGAATGCATTGCCAGTTTGCTGGGTATTACATCTACCCTTGACACTCATTGGGCATGTGGCCTGTACCCAACTTAATTTCATGCCATGATTTCTCAAGGACTGGTGACTATAAAATAAATCCAAGCAATTTGTTCTGTTCTATGTGTACCAAATCGGTTAGTGAGGTTTTGCTTTTATCTTTGATGAGTGAATAAAACATGAGTTCACTTTCTCAGTCTGGCTTCAGTAAAATATTCAGAAAAGAAAGTGTTATCTAAAAGGGTCTTCTAAAAAAACCTTAAAGTTTTCACTAATCAAATCAATTTTCCCATTCACATTTCAGAGTTGTATTTATATGAAAAGTCTTTGGCTGCACAAAAACAACACTTAAGAATGCAGCAGAACTTATTTGAAATTTCAAATTTAATAAATACTAATTTTCTAAGAATATAATAATTCTTCTATAATCTTCCAATAAATTTTTCTGACCAAAATTTTGTAACTGGACAGGCTTATGGGGAAATTGCCTGGTCTCTCCGTGGGTTGCATTAGACTGTGTCCCTCCATTACATTACCCAGATATTCACATACCATTTTCATAATTTTTGCCATATGCTCACCATTTTTTTCTCTATCTGTGTACCACCTGCACTTACTCAACTTATTTCTTCCTAATACATTTTTAAGTATTTCTTTCTAAATGTATTTTTTTTTTTTTTTTTTGGTGAGGAAGATTGACTCGGAGCTAACGTGTTGCCAATCTTCCTCTTTTTGCTTGAGAAAGATTGTCCCTGAGCTAACATCTGTGCCAATCTTCCTCTATTATGTATGTGGGAGGCCACCACAGCATGGCTTGATGAGCAGTGTGTAGGTCCATGCCCGGGATCCAAACCCGTGGACCCCAGGCCGCTGAAGCAGAGCACGTGAACTTAACCACAATGCCACTGGGCCAGCCCCTAAATGCATTCATTTTTAAAGCAAACATTTTATCACTAGTGCAAATAACCTATCAGTAAATATGATGAAAACAAAAATTGTTAAAAATTCTAGCTAGATACTGTCAAAAGACTCAGAGCTTGAGGCCTGCTTCCTTGGTGAAAACGAGACCTATGCAAGTAAAGAGAATAAGATTAGCTGTGTTTGGTTAGTGCTTACTAGCGCTAGGCACTGTCAGAAGCACTTTACACACAGTGTCTCATTTCATATTCATAACCACTGGAAGAGGTAGGTTGTTTCCTCCATTTTACACATGAGGAAACTGAGGCACAAGGGGACTGGCTGGCAGAGCCGGGATTCAAACGGAGGCAGTCTGGGGAGGCTCTTACCCGCCATGCCATCCTGCCTCCTACTAACACAGAAGGCCTCCAAAGAGAAGTGACTCTCATCATTTGATGCTGTGTCTGCCTCACCTCGGGTTGCATCGGCGGAGCACGTCCCATACTTCGGAAACACTGGTCTTAGAGGATGTCCACAGAAGACTCTAGGGCAAGCTTCCTTCCACACTCAGATACACGTGGAAAGCCTGCACATTCTCTTTCCCTTTTGGACATTCAGAATTTATATCCACATCTAAAAGGTTCTGAGTCCTGCAGCAAAAACTCTTTTCAGCTTTACTTGACACAGCATTTCTCAAACTGACTCCACCTCCGAACTCTTTTACAGAGGAGGGTGTATTAGTATCTCAGGATAAAGCATGGAGCAGTTTGGGAAATACTGAGTGAGTCTCAGTGTTTGGAATGAAATTCATTTCGTGCAAAAATATTTCTTGTATATAAAGATGAAGAAGGTATTTCTTAAGCTTAAATACTCAAATAGGGTTTCTGTTACCAGGTGAATATTCTCATGCCATCAAACCCAGATAACTTCAAAGGGTCGTCTACCTTACAGAACCTCTTCCAGTAACTCCGAGTCCCCTCCCTACTCCGTGCGACAACAGCAAGTTCCACCAGGTGATGTCCTTCCCGGTTCCCAGGACCACTGGGTGACGTAAGCAGTCACGTAAGCACGTAAGCAGTCACGGGCAAAGGAAACCCTGGGCTTTTGAATTTAGCACCTGAGCCGCCACCACTAGTGCATTCAAAGCAATGTTGGAATCTACTTCAAAGCTCACAATGAAGTAGGAGAAATAGCCTTGGGAGGGAACGATCTATGTGATAAATTATGCACTTCTAATTGTGACCACGGACACCTGCTTATCTGTGACGTGCTCAGCAAGTTTAAAGAGCTTGAGTTTCTTGGTGAAGAAAGACCAGGCCCACAGTGATGACTTCTGCTCCTCGCACTCTCTTCAACGGGAGGGACAGCAGTGGCATTGGGACTGAGTAATTGCTTGCCTGGACACAGCCGTAAGAGCAAGCCTGTCCACGTGGGGCACGCCTCTTGTTTGGCTATTCTTTCGAAAATTCTGGCAGAGCTGGCAGAGGCACGTTTGGATTCAGGGCACCCAATGGCTTCACCTACCTTCTCGGGAGCCTTACAATGAGGCCCCCCTCCTGGTGGAGGGGGCCCCTTCTTCTCTGTGCCCCTAATGCCCCAGCACCTCAGGGCTGGCTTTTCTGCTCTAGGTCCTTCCCTAAAGGCTGTTGCTTCTGCAGGAAGCATCCACATTCTTTTCTTTTCCTTATCTTCTCAACTGTCCCTTAAAAAAAAAAAAAAGAGAATAGAGCCTCTGACCTAGCACCTGAGGTCAGCTCTTTCAGCATGAGAATACAGACCGCTGGGCAATATTTACAAGGTGGTGGCAGGACTTCTGCCAAGACCCCTTGAAAGAAAGTTCAGGGAAAGGCAACTTGCAAACCCATCATAATTCCATAAGCTTTGATTTAGGTGTATAGCAGATTACTGAAAAAAGGATCTGATTTAAGAGACAGAGCCGATACTCAAAAGTGGAACCTCCAGCCTGAAAACAGAGGCAGCGTTTTAAACAGGGACTCTTCAGTTTTCCTTGGGGACTCAATCCCCAAACAGAGCTGCCACCATGTACCTCCCATAGCTCAACAGTGACTTAAGAACTACAAATATTAAAGTTATTCCTTAACTGATAAAATGGAAACTAAAAAAAAAAAAAAAACAGAAATAACTAAACTCTGGAAATATAATTGCTTAACCATTTCTTTGTACTTTTATTGAACATTTTTTAATTTTTTTTTTAATTTCTGCCCGGTTACGACAATTAAATGGGAAAACACAATTACAATTCACAAACTGTGGCATGAAAAATAACACACACCCCATCAGGAATTACACCCAACCCTTTCCTTTTTATTCATCCAAAAGAGTCCAATGCACAAGTGTCAAATATGAGCACTGTCATTTTTTTTTTCTTAGAAGGGGGAAAACATTTATTCTGGCAGCGTTTTTACAATTCCAGGAAGTGGCTTTGATACCACAAGTTGCAGGAATAGAAACCATAACAAACTTGGAGGGTGTCTGTTTGCGAGGCAAGGGACTACTTGGTTGGAAAAGACCCCCCTTGTGCTTAGCGAATTGCCTGTCAGCCTCCGCTGGCTGAGTCTTCCCAGGTGTTGAGAGAGAAAACGGAATTTCCTGCATAGACGGCAAAAATTCCTGTAGAGCAGAGTGTTTTCTGTATCTCCAACCCTCCTCTCCCTCTGAAGCAAGTTCTCAAGCTTTTCTGGAGCTTCTTTTGGTCACATGACCCTCTATCATGATGACCTTTTTGCTAAAACACATGTGACACCAAGATTTCTTCTTACACTGCTTCTCTAGGGTTCAGATGACAGCACAAAACATCATTTGTCAAAAAATAGCAGATATTAAGAACATGGGCATTTATGTTCATAATAATAGCAAATACTTTGCAGGGAACGTCACCCAAAGGAGCATTTTTTTTTTTTTTTCACTTAATAAGGTCCCCTGGGGAGTTAGCCCAAAGTCACACACTTAAAGAGTCTTTTCAAAAGACGGGTCAAAGTCAGTTAATTTGACAGTTTAGAAACTATCTCATGCCAATTAGAAAACTTTTATGCCCAACAATTCAATGGCCCATAAAGCAATTAAATGTTACCATTCAGGTCACATTTACACACACACACACACACACACACACATGCACGCATGAGAACTGTGACAAAAGGATGAACCAGATTAATCTTGTGATTGGGTTCTAAAAGAAAAGGCAATCTCAAATTTGAGGTGTCACAGGTATTAAAAAACACAGAAATGGTCTGATCTCATTTGATTTTATGATCATAAGAAATCATACTGGTTTAACTGGAGGTTCTGGAGTTAGTGAAGTTAACCCCTGGGTTAACAAAATAGTCTACAAAAATTGATTTGTCATTTTTTGCAAGGTAGCTGCTTGAATTGTTTGTTATTTCCTTTAAAAATATGTTGAGACTTTGTATACTGTGGAATTCCAAGAGTCAATACTTTATAGAAGAAGTGAAAGAATACTACCAGCCCACTCCCTTTTCTTGTCTTACACTGTGTAAGAAACAGTTTTACACATTTTCAATCAACTCTTGGGAGGAAGCAGATGTAAACAGAGTCCTTTACATTCTCCAAAGAATGTGTTACTATTGCAGCAGACGCTATTTGGCCCCAATTAAGAGTAGAAGAGAGAGCAATTTGTTTTTTAAGTTTTACTTTGTGGAGATCTGAAAACAAGGCTTTTACTAGCTCCGGGCAGTAGAGGGTCCAATCAGAGGCTGTGTATTTATAAATAACCAATGTGGGATTATGCTTTCCAATTAGGCAACTCACTATCTTAAGGTCTGACAGCCAGATGTGGAGGGCTTTCGAAGTGCTCTGCTAAATTTCAGACTGTTCCAGAAAAAAAAGGACTTATGAGCAGAGCTCTTTGCATGTTTTAGTACTGACTCCTGATTATCTGAAGCTATTGAAAGACACAGGTTTTCTAAGAACTCGCTGACCCATCTGTGCCCCTCCCTGGAGAATCCCAACACCAGGCCTCCATCAGCACATCAGCTGTGACAACCCACAGTCAACACCAAACCTGGAGGAAGGGACACTGCCCAGCACTAGTGACATGTGAGGGAAAGAAAAGGAATAATCCCACTGCCCTGCCCAACAGTGTACAGGCAGGGACCTTTATTTAAAAGAAGGGGAGGGAAACAAATGTTTGCCTGAAATGCACGTTTAAGGTTCTTGCAGATTATTGGCAACTTCTATGAACCAACACTTAATCCATGGGCAGACAGAGAGATCTCTCTTTTTTTTTAATCTGAGAAGGATTAAAGAATAAAGAATGAACAAAAAGGTCTTACGCTAAAATAAGAAACCAGCCCCACCTTGGCACAGTTCTCATGCAGAATATTGCACCCAGTGTTAACTAGCGCTAGAAGCTTCAAACTGTATAAATTTAAATGTATTTGCATATTATAAAAATAAAGATAAACATATACATATTTTACACTAGTTATGGAACAGCAATGAATGGTCAGTCGATCCCTCTTTCACATTGAACAGAACTGAAATCTGAGTGCTCTAAATCCTGCCACCTGCATTGGAACTATGGCTTATATGTGCACGGAAAACAAAATCCCTGAGAAGCCATTCGACTTTTTTTTGCTTTTCTTCAAGTAGCGCTCTCCTTGGAGGATCACAGTTCTGAGGTTCAGGTTGTAAAACATTTGCTCCATATCCTCTCCCACCCTCCCCTCTGTCCCTCCCCGCCTCGTCCACAGGCCAGGTGTGCTCCTCCTCTGAGAGCACCCTGAACGCTTATGCACCCAAGTTCACGGACACTCTTGGGAGTGTGAAGGGTTGGCCAGGTACGAAAGATGGTCCAGGTGAGTTCTGATGCTCTCTTTTCTCCATGGAAATTCCACAGCCATAAAAGTCACTGGTTTCTGTGCTTTTCACCAACGTTCTTCCTACACGGGTAGATGAGAAGAAAGCACAGAAATGACCAAAGGTAATAGAGAATGATATTCTCAATTATAAGAACAGGAAGTGATAACGTATCTATTTTTTTGCACAGATTTTCATTTCTACTTCTAGAACTCCTTATAAAAATGTAAATGTCAGGCAATTAATGTTCCTACAAAGGAAGGCGTCTTTTTACTAGAAAGCTAGGCAAACATTTCCGTTTCTGAGTTAAATTCAGTTCAGACAAAAAGAGGGGACTACACTAATTAGCTACAACCACTTATTCCACAGTAATTTCACAGCTTAACTAGATTTCTAATTAGGAACCCAAAACTCTAAACACAGCACTGCTGCCTTTCAAGAAACACACATGGACACACACAGACACACGCTAAATAACCCTCTAGGAGGAGGAATACTGTACAGACGAGAAAGTGAGAATGGATGACTATCTGGAGTGAAAGGCACGATTTCACTTAGTCATACAAGCAAGGCTGCTGAACTGAAAGCCGGAATAAGATGAATGTAAAATGAAGAAACTGCTCCATCTTCAGCTAATGAAACAAAGCGGCATTCAACTTACACAAAATGGTTAGAGGAAAAAATGTCAAATGTCCCCATCCCTTATTTCAACTTTCCTATAATGACATGCAACATGATGTTTTTAGAACTGTTTTAGCAACACTTAAAAAACATACGAAGACATAAAAACTGATGATCCACTTCTCCCACCCTCCACCTCGCCTCTCTCTCAATGCTGCTTGATTTTATGGAAACTGATAAATTAGTATCTACCTAAGACCTCTCTCCAGCCCAGGTAAGAATCGGCTGAGCATAAGTTTAATAACAACAGCACCAAAAATATGCACCTTCCATTTACTAAGTACTTACTCCCCATCAGGAATCGCACCCTTCACCAGGGTGCACTATTTGATTAATCCTCAACTCGTAACACTCCTTCAGGGAAGCTCCATCTGACTTTGCATTTTAACAAGAAAGAAACTAAGGTTCCAAGAGGTTAAATAACTTCCTGGAGGGGAACACACCACAGAGCAGCAGAGCCAGCCTTCCACAAGGGTTATCTGACTCCAAAGCATGCTTGACAGCTAAAAGCGAGGCTGGACTACTTGAGCCCTCGGGATAGTTTCACATTTCTGTGGCACTCAGCCAGGAGGACTTTCTGACGGCCTATTAATATAGGAAACTTCCTAGTAGAGAAAGTTGTGCAAACTGCCTCAAATTCAAGTACTAATATAATAAATCTAACCGTGAAGAGGACGGCAGTGTGAAAACACACGTCTCCACAAGCAGTGTACTCCAGTGGTGAGAGTTTTGGGTTCATATGGGAGACGTGCTACGTAAATGTTTTTCTCACTGAATCTAACGAATCTTCGGAAACACAGACAGTTGTGTCTGGCTGTCTGCTCCCTCGAGCCACACGTTAAGACTGAGAAACACAAGAATACCCAATCAAGGGCACCTAGAGGGAATATTCCACTGTTCAACGGAGGAAAAGGAAAGCCGGTTTGAACACTTTTCCACATTGATACCACTTTTCACATTTGGGCTCTTAGGGAAAGAAAAGACTCATCAAATTGCCAACTTTCTCCACCTGTCACTGCTTCTCCATCTCAATAAACTCATCCTCGTCCACCAAGATCCACCTCAAATGCTACTTCCTGGAGCTTTTCCCGATTCCTCCTGGCAGAGTTCTTTCTTCTCTGCGCCCACAGGACTTTGTTGATACACAGATCGTGGCAGGCATCACATTTTAATTGTAATTAGACACCCACAAGACTGTCTGGTTATGTCTTTGATCCCCATTCTCCCCAAAGAGGCTATTAGATTCTTGAAGGCAGGGTCTCGCTTATTCATTTCTGTGCTCTCAACACCTGGCACAATGCCTAGTAGAAGGCAAATACTCAACAAAGATCTGCTGTATGAATGATGAATAAGATGTGATGAAAAAGTCACAGGTAAAAGATAGCCAAGCCATTAGGAGATCATTGCTCTAATGGAGGTGTATAAGAAGGACTAAGGAGATGCGAAGGAAAGTCACTGATTTCAGTGAGAAGGACTGAGGATGGCTTCTCAGAGGAGTTGACACTGGACCTTGGCCTTAAGGACAATGGGCCTTCATCAAGGAGGAGAGAAGGGGTGGTAGCTAGCCATGGACTGAGAGCCAGCCGGGGGGGTGTGACTCACCTCTCCCACAGTAAGGGAGTGTCACGCATGTCAACAGGGTAGCTGGGGTCTGACTGTGAGTCACGCCCAGGATTTTGAACTTCAGCCTACAATCACCAGGAAGCCATTCCAGGCTTTTAAACAGGGAGAGAAGTGACAGGGTCTGACGTTGAAAGATAACACCGGTTTGAAGGACAAGAAGACTAGAGAGAAGGAGGCCAGTTGAGACTCAATCACAGGAACCTTGGCAGGGCCAGGTGGACCCAGAGGAAAGCACGGGCCAGAGAGAAAGTGATATGGCCAAATTCGCTCATGTCAAGACACCCTGATAAGATGGGATAACAGTTCTCAGGGGAAGACAGCACATGGGGAAGAGGGGAGGGAAGCATTGACGCTGACAGGCTCCTAGCTTGACAGAGGGGTGCAAAGCTATGCCATCACCTGAGGCAGGCAGCACAGACTGATGAAGAGCTTGGGGGGAAACCATGAAGCCTAGAGGACAGCCAAGGGAGATGCCAGGTAGGACACTGGAAACAGAGGTCTAGCATGAAGGGACAGGTCAGCCTGGGGGCTCAGACCCAGAATCCTCTCAGGTTACTGAACCTGCTCTTCCTGGGATGCAACAAAATTATTCAAGGTATGTAGAAGCTCAGCCTGAAAATGAAGCCAGACCATGTGTATTTACCATGCCTTTTCTTTTCTGTGTTCTGATGCTTTGACATCTAGGGTCTTGCTGACCCTGGAAAAGCTGCCCCTCCCAGCATCAGCCAGTTCTGAGCGTGCTTCTCAGATACAAACCAGCTAATCCAGAGACCACACCCAACCACCTCCTTTATTGGGCTCTCACTCTCTGGGCCACTACCCATCTGTCCTCATCACTCCAGCACCAGGTACCAGACAACCAGGGATACACCCTATGCCCCAGAGCCCACTGAAATGATTCAAACTGGCCAATCCTCGGCCTGCTCACCCGGCCCTGCCCATACCTTCTAGCAGACACCACAATACATGCTCTTGCCCACAGTTCCTCCCTTTCTCTCTCTGCCTCATGATAGACCCCAGTATTTCCCCGTGTAGCCCGCCATGGCATGGCATACCCCCTCCTCTTGGGAACTGTGAGTATAAACTCTTTTCAATGGCAGTCATTTCTTAATCTGTTGGTCTTACTGTACCTCCAATTTTCCATTACTGCTGCACTGTATTGTAAAACAAATGTGCAAGTAAGAACTTGCTGTGAAAACAGCACTGAACCCAGGAGCCTGATGTGGATTTCAGGCCCAGCTGTGCCACTCAGTGACTGTGACTGTGGGAGCATGCCTTGGTCTGGGACTCTTCCAGGGTTGTTAGGAGGATCCAGTGAGTCAGGGGGTTTCGTTCTGAGACGTGTATCCAGGCACTGCAGGCATTTGTGACTAGACTATGAAAGAAATGATACCATGCATTTCCTCTTTATCCCATGAAGATGAGGTTAGGGCATCGCTGTAACTGGGTAACTGCAGGTGGCCTTATAAACAGATCTTCGGGAATTCTACCGTGACCTCTTTGTGGCAGCAGAGGGGAAGGTAAGCCAACATTCTTACCTGCCTATCCAGCACACACGTTTACCTTCCTTGGGTTGTTGTTGTGTGCTGTCAAGTCGGCTCCCACTCCTGGTGACCCTGTGAATGAATGATGTCCACAATGTCCTGTCCTCAACAGCCCTACTCAGCTCCTGTAGACTCATGCCTTTGGTTTTCTTTATGGAGTCAATCCATCTCATATTTGGTCTTTCTCTTTTCTTGCTGCCTTCTACTTTCCCAAAAGCATTATTGTCCTTTTGAAAGAATCCTGATTTCTCATGGTGTGCCCAAAGTAGGACAGCCTCAGTTTTATCATTTTTGCTTCCAGTGATAGTTCAGGCTTATTTTGCTCTGGGACCCACTTATGCGTCTTTCTGGCAGTGCAGGGTACCTGTAAGAGCTGTCTTCCAACACTATGTTCCAAATGAATTAATTTATTTCCTGTCAGTCTTTTCCACTGCCCAGCTTTGCACCTGTACATTGTAACTGGGGATACGAGGGTGTGGACAATCTCAGCTTTAGTCTCTAATGACAATTCCTTGCACTTGATGATCTTTCCCAATTCTTTCATTGCTGCCCTTCCAAGTCTCAGTCTTCTCTTGATTTCTTGGCTGCAGTCCCCATTTAAATTGATGGCTGCACCAAGGTGAACAAACTCTTTAACAATTTCAATGTCTTCATTGTCTATGTTAAAGTTGTGTAGTTCTTCTGTAGTCGTGATTTTCGTCTTCTTGATATTCAAATGCAGTCCTGCTTTGGCACTTTCTTCTTTCATTTTCCTCAGAAGTCATTTCAAATCATTGCTGTCTTCTGCCAGCAAGCTGGTGTCATCTACGTATCCTCGATTGTTGCTATTTCCTCCACCAATTTATCCCTCCTCCTTCATCTGAGTCTAGCCCAGTTTTTCATATAATATGTTCTGCGTGCCTTGGGTAGGCACCTCAATTAATAAGCTAAACATTGCTAGGTAAGTCAGTGGGTTGATTTCACTCTAGGACCTATATTTGCATTTTGGAATTTTTTAATTACAACCTTTATACACCATCTACAGCGTACACCACTAATATTCCCTAGTAGAAATAAGAGCAACTGAATTTATTGAGCGCTATTCACTCTGTGTGAGGAATAATGCTAAATGCTTTCCCTGCAATTGTCTACATGCTCATAGTAACGCCATGAGACACGCTCTGTAATCTGCCTCTGACAGATGTCTACAGTCACAGCACTAACAAATCGTAAAGATTCAACCCAGGAAGTCTAGCTCCAGAGCCCATCAAACTGCCTCGAGAAAATAAATACAAACACTGCTTTTAAAAAGTTATTTGCTGTGTTAAGCAACTTGAGCTTTTCCTGATGTTATAATCTTGCATAAAATTAGAGTAAATTTTTTTAAATGACTTCTTTTTTCCCACAAGGATCTAAGATGACTGATATATGCAATATTATAGTAAATTAGACAAAAGAATCAAGCGGTTTCCATACTTTTAATTCCTAAATGCGTCTTGATTCTAGGTAAGGAAAAGATTTGTAATCTTAAAATGTCTCTTCATCCCAAACCCCAGCCCCCCTTTTTTCCTAAACTCTCCAAGTCCTTAGGAAGCCCTTATATGTTTAAGAAACCCTCTCTGCTTCCCAGAGACTTACCCTTAAAAATTGGTGCTCCTAAAGTCACAGATTGGGTACAGTAAAAATGATGGCATAAGGGAAAGAAGCACTATCTTTTCCACTTAATTTTCCAAGAAAGTATGGAGATACCTAAGCAGAGAGGGAACAAATTCCAGTATCAATGTGGTTGATGGGAGACTAAATAATCAAAGAGACACTCTTCTTCCTAGCCTGTAAAAGTTGCAAGGCAATGAGCTGTCAGTCTTTGCAAAGAAAAAAACAAATCAATGCGATACACCCCACAGGCAACCTCCACACTTAGCCTTCTCTTCTGAATCCCCACTCTCCATGTGTTAAAATTCTGTGGTCAGTGAAAAATTCTCCATTGTGAAAAGCCAAATTCATCTCGGTCCATTGATTTTAAAACAATTTTTATCAAGTCCGAACTAACTAATCCGAGTGCAGTTAAGTATACTTTGCCTGTTTATTTGGTGAGATAAGAGCCAGAGTCCTCATCCTACTTTTTATAAAAGGCTATTTCAATGGTCTTAAATATCCTTATGTCATAAAAATGTAACTGCCTAAATTCCTATGCAAAGTAATCACTATACTTTTGAAAATACTTATAAACAGTAAGTAACTGGAATTTTCTGGGCTCTTGCTTGAATGAGAATGCTACAGTATATAAGCAATAATCCCAGTTTAAAAGGTAGTTTTGAAATGCAGTGTCTCAGCCTTGCCTTTTATTATTAGTAGTACTTTCTGGAAAAGGAGAGAGCTTAGCCCAACAATTTTAAAACCTGCCCATTTTTTCTAATTCTGTAACATATGACCTGCCAAAATCAGAATTAACTTCCTTTTCAGTCCCACCACTCCACATATGATGGAGCGCAGACAGACGTGGTACCACCACAAGAGAAGTGGCAACTGTCAGGAAATGAAAATGATATATTCCCATTTCCTGTATGTTCAAGGGTCAGTCCATTAAGAAACCACATGGAAGAATGTGGGTTGCATTCCAGGATGCCTTAAGGTAAACATTTTCATATGCTAACCAGTTGAATTCTCTCTGCCTTTTAAATGAAAATCCCTAGATAAATTGGGTTATCTGGCAGTTTATCAGAGTATATACTTTAATTGGTGGGAGGGGGGGTTGGTCTAAACCTCTTTGGAAATGAGAAAGAGAAACATTCTACAGGGTACCTAAAAATGAAATGCAAACAGCAAGCTGTCATTTGCCCAAAGAAGTTCACACTTCTCTTCTGAATTGCAATATTAAGTGTCTCAACCTGCAGAGCAACAAGATGGAGACAGGAATTCACAAATAAAATTTTTAAAAATAAATTTAAGAAATTATCCTTCTACTTTCCCCTAACTTTTAACATTGAAAGTATATTTTGCCCCTTATGACTCCTAATGTCCAAGGCTCAGCATCTCTTTAATGTCTAGGGGTCAGTTAGGCTGCCATTCAGAAGTTCTAAAGGATAAATATGTGAAGTGATGGAGGTGTTAACTAGATGGGGGCATCTTGTAACAATGTACATGTGTATCAAATCACCATGATGTGTGACTCTGTTATACCTCAATAAAGCTGAAAAAGAAAAAATCAATGGTTGCCAGGGGTTAAGGGGGGTGGGAGGGATAAGTAGGCAGAGCACAGAGGATTTTTGGGGCAGTGAAAATACTGTGTATGATACTGTAATGGTAGATAGACGTTGTTATACATTTGTCCAAACCCATAGATTGTACAACACCAAGAGTAAACACTAATGTAAACTATGGACTTTGGGTGATTATGATGAGTCAGTGTAGATTTATTAGCCTTAACAGATGTACCACTCTGGTGAGGGATGTTGATAGTGGGAGAGGCTGTGTGTGTGTGTGGGGGTGGGGGCAGGAGATATATGGGATCTCTCTGTACCTTCTGCTCGATTTTGTTGTGAACCTAAAACTGCTCTAAAAAATAAAGTCTATGTTTTAAAAAATTGCTACCTATACCAAAAAAAAAAGTTCTGAAGAAGACTGATCTCCCACCAAGCAGCTCTGCTTCCTCTCTATGGTCCAGTAAACAGGGGGCTGTGGTGGGGGGGGGTGCCAGTTAATTCATGCCCCTTTACACTGAACTGGGCGCAGGATAACGTGTTAATTTCTTTAAAACTCACAAATCTTGTCTAACACCAACACACCAGGAAGCAAAACCATTCCTGCAAGAGACACTAAAAATATTTACTGACTACAAGGAACTAGGCATTGTATGAGATGCAAATGGGCATGAAGTTTCTTTCTGAAGTGATGAAAATGTTCCAAAATTAGATTGTGGTGATGGTTGCACAACTCTATAAATATATTAATAACCGCTGACTGGTAGTTTTACGGTACAAAAGTATACCTCAATAAAGCTTTTAAAAATGTATCAGATAAAATCCGTATCCTTAAAGAGGTTAGAATTATTCAGAGCAACACAGTAAATTGTTACTATGTGAATTTTCACCTCATCTCACAAGCAAATATCCTTGGTAATCAGCCCAGGATAGCCAAAGTATGGAAATGACTCACATTTCTACCTGATAATCCGCAAAGGGGACAAGAAGCCACTCTGCTCCTGTTTCTCCCTGGAGGGTGAGGTGCAGAAGAGGCATTTCATTCAAGTGTAACCTCTTCCCAATGGAACGCTGGTAGAGACCTCAACCACCAACCACCAAGACAACTTATGAGAGTAAATCACGTTTTTTAAAAAACCACTACCTACTCTTCATTCTCTGTCTCTCTCCATAGAGGAATAAAACACCTAGAAAATTTTTAAAATGAGGAATAGGAAAGCTTGGAATTCATAAGGAAGATCCAATCAAATTAACAGCCAATAGTTTTTCTTTATAAAGCACACTGTAGCACCATTATTTTACACATGGTCAAAGGCAGGCTGTTAAGTGACAAGTCTCTGATTTGACCTATAAAGGAGAAGAGTAAACTAGTCAAAGAGGATCTTGGGATGTCTTTTTACAAACCACCATAAGAAGTAGACCAATGACCTGGGAGTGGGGTGATTATGCTGGGATGGTCCTGGTTGATCCCTGTTGTCTGGCATAATTATTAACAGTCCTCCTGCCAGTCTCAATCCTTTCTGGATTCCAACAACAAATTACGTGTTCAGCTCCAAGGGTGAACTGAGGGTGGAATGGAGGGTGCCGATCCATGCAGCACAGATCAGTTTTGCCTTGGTGTTGCCAATTGGTTATTGACCGGAGAGAGGCCCTACGGTAAAAAGTAAGGCCCACTGGGCAGGGAGCCCAGCCTTAGAACCACAGAGAGAACTGAGGGATCAGAAAGTCCAGCCTACACACATTAGAAGCCTCTGGGTGGCTCTTTTTTGTTGTAAAAGACTTACGCCTGGCCCCTCCCTTTGGCAATTCTGGTATACACTCCTGATTAAGAAAGCCCAATCTTGACCAGCCACCTGTGTTTTATGGGATGCTAGAGAAGTAAAAGATCACTCTGCAGTGACCTGCTTAAGGTAACTTGGCTGGAGCTGCAAAGCCAGTGCAATAGCCTCAGTCTCCTAATTTCTAGTGCCTTCTGGGACCCCAAGTCTAACTCTCAGGTTCAGATGCAAACTGTGTTGACGTAACGACCACCTCCTCTGACAGTTTTCCTCATCAATACCCCCAATCTCCCCCTTCTTCAGGGGACATGAGCTGTGTGTGCTTGGGGGCAGAGGTGTGCATAAAACTAGATGGCACAAAGGGGGGTTTTGAATCCAAGTGGACTTTTCTATAAATGGCCACAATAGAGATAACTCTTTCTTTGCCTCCCTACTACAAATTGGTAATTTCCAAGAAAAGTCCTGCCAGAAATATGAAACTTTCCTGTTTAGAGAATATTCCTCCATTTAGAGTTGAGACATACTCCGAATTTGCCATCCCTTTTATGAGAGTTTTTTTTACCCATTTGAAAATAAAACTGTTCCCATAGCTAGGTCAGAAGCAGTTCAATCCCTAAAGGTATTCCCTCCAGCATCTAGATATCTGAGTCTGTGTGGCTCTGATTACCCAAGACTTGGAAGCTGCTTGTTCATTTAGGTATAACAAACTGTGAGAGACAGAGAGGGGCCGACAGCACCGTTTCCGGTTGGTATCAATGTCTTTCTGTGGCAGCACAACAAGAAGTCCACAGGAAACACCGATAAGGCTGGTTCCGTGCCACCGCAGTTTCTTGGGCAAATGGATATTATAACTCCTACCTCTCTCTCACCTTTTAAATGCCATGTGGCTATGGCAGAACAACAGGTTAACGTCTCTCCTGGCTCAGGAAAATCTATGCCAGTGTAAAGTGTATTGAACAAGGGTGTCCCCCCATTCCATACCCTGCTGTTTCCATAATATCCCCTTATCCTTACTCTATGTGTATCTGAAAGAAAGGCACCAATGTACACCAATTCAAAGAACAGTAAAATTTCTGTTGTACGATACGTTCAGGATAGGGGATATTCTGCTTAATATGAAGTTACTATGTGATCTTAAGAAGCACTTCAAGATTTCACAATGTCTTAGGGTCATATTGTGGTAAATTATACTTCGTGTGTGTTAGCTAAAATGGCATTCTGAATATAACAGCACTGGATGAGAGTTTCCATTGGGTGCTCAGTGATACTTTCCAGCAAGAAGAGATTAGAAATGTTCTGTTGAATGAGTCCCTGGTTTGGAGAAAAGGGGCAGCAGCCTTCCACTGCAGCTGCTAATGAATGAGATGCCACCGTAGACCCTGGCTCTGCAGAGAGCATACCAAAGAAGGCAAAGCTGACCCCTCAGGGATATGAGCTTCTATCACACACAGCTCTCTGGAATGCAGCCGGATACAAGTTTCTCAAGCTGAGATGACAAGTCACCATTCTCAAATGCAAACTTTCCAACCTCCCTATAAAAAGCTTATCTATGAAAAAAAAATTCTATGTGGCCAGCTAGGTAGAAAAACAAAAGTTTCCTGCAGGAATACTTTGCTGTATAAGTCATGTTGCCGACATCACCCATTAACCAGATCTGCTCCAAGGAGACCTTGGCTGCTATTTTTCAAGATTTCAAGTAACAAAGTATTCATCTCAATTTAAAAGTGGCCTGTCTGGTTCTTAATACTACAAAAAAACCAAACAGGATGAGTCTTCCCTATAACACTAAGCTAATATTCTATCCAAAAGTTAGTTCACACGTGTACCTTCTCTGTCTTGAAGTCCGTTTTGGGGAAGGTGGGAGCAAACTGCACAGCCTCTGATTATCAAGGACTGATAGAGAATCAGGGCCCCACAGCAAAAAATAATCATTTACAGAAGTTTGAAGTGAGGGCCTACTTAATTCTGCAATGACAGAATTAAGACTATCCATCACAAAATGCTCTTTTTGGTTGCATACACCTGGCAAATATACTAAAAACCAATGAATTATACACGTTGAGTGACCTGTATGGTATGTGAATGATATCTCAATAAAGCTGTTAAAAAATGTTATGACTTTTATCAGCAAAAGTAAAAAAAAAAATCACAAACAAGAAAAAAGTTTCTAGTTGGCTGCATAAGCCATGGTGTTGACGTCACCCAGATAACTAAGTCTGCCCTGGCGGTGCTTGTCAAGGTTTGTTGAAAGGTACCTTAACTTGGCTTTTTATTATCACAACCACTGAGGCAGGATCAGGAGTGAGGACTGGGGCCAGTTCAGAACTCACTTGGAACAGGGGCTGATCACAGTCGGTGTAGGTGGGTAGACCAAGGCAACATTCACTCGCTCACTGCCGTTCTTGGGGCAAATGATCTCTGCCACGCCTTCTGGTCTGGGCTGACTCAGCAACTCCCCTGCAGGAGGAGAGAGAAAAACGCATCCGTGAGATGTGCCTTAAGAATGGGACCACTTTACAGAGAAACACAGCACTCAGGGATGGGGGAGGCAAGGAGAAGGGCAGGTAGTGAGGAAGTGAGGGGTCTACACACAATGGAGTCAGAGAACAAATGTGCAACCAGAATAGCAGAATTGGCTCTGCTCCCCTGGCACTGCCTAAATTCTCATCTGCATCACCATGGAGAATGTTCTCATGGTTAGGGCAGGGAGGCCATCGTTCCAGACAAAGACAGCATCTGCCACTATTCTCCTCACCTTCCTTTTCACAGACTGACCCCGGAGATCTTGATCTAGACGGCATGGCAAATTGAGCCGGGGTCCCTGGAGCCCAGCAAAGCAAGGGCTGCCAAGGAGGTGTTCCTAATTAGGATTCGGGGCAGATGGGATTTGGGCAGACCACAGCAGCCTTTCAACAAAGCCCTGCATAAATGATCTGGAAAGGCAACTGACTAAAGGTGTTATCAAGGTAAACAGCCCAGCTTCATACTGGCAAGAGGATTTTCTGGGTAGGTAGGTGTGCAGATTTGAAAGAACCAACACAATGCTATCTTATGAGTAACGGCGTCTAGTAAAAACAGACAATTAACTTAATGGATTACCACAATACCCAAAGGAAATCTGTGTACTCTGCACGCCCCGGATAGACTCTCTCGCCAACCAGATCCTTAAATCCCTAAGAGCAGTGATGACTTCCGTGCCTCAGTTTCCTCTCCACCATCCACTTAGCCAGCACCACCCTGCCCTCTCCCTGTTCTTGTTGCCAGCATGGTGCTCTCACTCAGAGAATATTCAATAAATAGCTTCTGGCTGATGATGGTACACGTTATTGCCTAAATTCTCCTACTTAAACCTAGAAAGTAAATAAACCAAACCAAGAACACAAGGCATATGCCAACTGGGGAAAGACGCTACTGAAACAGAATGTCAACTCTATGGCAGCCATCACTTGTATCACTGATTTGAAAGTCTAGAGACCCCAAAGTGTACGCCAACATGTGATGAAACAAAAATCCTTTGCCCCAAAATACTGTATTTCTAAACGCCTCACCTTCAGCAGAACTCACATTAATAGAGCATGCCCACGTGCCAGCACTGAACTAAGAGCTTTAAATGTACATCTCGTTTCATTTTTACAATGTCCCTGTAAGGTTTATTCTCATCTCACAAATAAGGAAGCTAACACTCAGAAAGGTTATGTGGCATACCCAGAGTCAAGAGGCAGCAAGTGGCAGACTTGGGATGTGACCTTGGGAACCCATCTCTGGGGCACTTTCTCTTTGCCACCACTCTCTAATACCTCCCCAAAGCGGGGACTACTTCTTTAAGTCAGAAGACATCTCTCCCAGAGAAGCAATCTAAAAATAGTGTTTTTAAACAATGTATTAAGCATGGAAATATTTGTACTTTTATGAAATACATTGATTTCCTGGTTTGAACATTTTCATATGGCTTTGCACAGTCTGAACTCAATGTAATGTGAGTTCCTTAACCAAACCACTGTAAACACTGAATTACTGCAAAAGTTAATTTAGCATTATTAGCTTGTATCATGGACACACGGGTATCAGAACTATATGCCAACACCAGCTGGGAAAAGATTTCAAAATATAAAAATGCAAATTAAAAATGTAAACATTGAATGATATCAAAGTAATTAAACGAGCCAAAGTAATAGCATGTTAGACTGGACTGAACCTTGGAAGTCACCCAGTCCAAAAACCACTTCATAACTCAGAAGCTGAGTTTAGCAGATTTGCTCCAAGTCCCACAGAGAGCTGGCATCTTTAAACCAACCAAGCCACCAGGCACCATGAGGCTAGAACTGCAACAAGAGGGTATTCGGAACACCCCAGGCCTGCTAACACCGCTGGTCACAGACCACCCTCTCCTGCTTCCTCACCTGATATTTTCAATTTCTATCCTCTGTCCTAAGATTGCCCTCAAGGCTTGAACATACACTGGGCTTCTCTGGTTTCCCCTGAGAACTCTCTCCTGGTTGGAATTTCACAAAGACCTCAGCTCTGTCGGCTTTCAGCTGCCCAAGTGCCCAGGATAACAACCGCAGAGTCAACCCCACCCCAGGCACCCATCCCTGGCATCAGCCTGGCACAGCTGGCTTCCTTGCTGGGTATGTTATAGGTTTTGGTGAGCAGACCAGTTTGCTAGATAATCTGAAATAATCTGCAGTAGACTATGAAGCACTGGTTATCAATTTCTATTAAACCAATAGCTTTACTGTCCCCTTCTCCCAACCCCCAGATTCCCAGTATCATACAGGATCAGGGAACTGGTTTTGTTTAAGTCCTGTCCCTAGCAGACTGCCAGCCACTGAAACAGAGCACAAAGGTTGAAGGCACCAAGGAGTTCCACGCATACACAAACTTCACTTCATGCTATAAAATAGTACTGAGCAGCAAGCAGAACAGTTCACAATTTCCAAGACATCTGTGTACTCCAACAAGCTACTGCATGGTGCCAGTATTCTTAGGATTTAAGAAATGTGCCCAGTTGCTGCTAGATTAAGAAAATAAGAAACACAGCTTTTTCCTTAAAAAGACTTTCTTATTACAAATATGAAGAGTGGTTCAAAATACATCATTTACCAAAATAGAAGCTAGTCATCTCAAACTTATTTAACACAAACTTGATCTTCAAACTCAAGTACAGTCATTCATTGAGCATCTAATCAGGGAGACCTCAGTGTGGGTGAGGAGCTGTAGGAGACGCAGCGGATACAGGAGTCTGAGGCAGGGCCTCCGATGTGGAGGGTCTGGGCATCCGAGAGGAGCTACATGGAGCTACAATTCCACGTGATGGGTGCCCCAAGGAAAGTGACGAGATGCTAGAGGAGTAATGAGAAGGAGAGACTAATACTGATTTGCAAGATGGGAAAAGACCTCGAAGAGCGGGGAACACTGACTCAAAAGACCAGGTCACGTTCATTATCAGAATGGAGAACAGTGCGAGCACACTACCTGATCATCATGCTGCCATATGTGTCAGGCTGAAAACAAACACAAATTAACCCCAGAAGAAAAGATAATGATCCCAGTAGCAGCTAATATTTCTTCATCACTTAGTATGTGCTTATACTATAAATGTGTTATCTCACTTAGTCCTGGTGCCAATCTTATGAAGTAAGTACAATTATGATCCCCATTATATAGAAGAGCAAAGTGAGGCTCAGAGGGGTTACATAATTCACCACAGTCACGAGGAGGAAGTGGCAGTGGCAGAATTTGGACTCTGGACTATCTGACTCCACTCTTAATCGCCGTATAATACTGTCCTGTGGCAGGGAGAGCGTGATGATTAAATCAGATAACGTACGGAAAGCGCTGAAAGTTGTATCCAGCATCTAGTAAGTTCTTGACACTATTACTGTACTGATAAGATTTTTTAAAAAGCTTACTCTTCCAAATATATAAAGAATTCATACAAATATATGATCATTACCCAGATTCTCTACAGTAAAGCAATACACAAGGATTAGACCAGGAATTATCTACATGCAAAACACCACCTCAAGAGAAATTTGAAAACTTCAAATGAAAAACATTTAGATTTATTACACATCTGTCACCACTAGCAAAAGCAAATAAAAAGATAAATCCCAAAGTTGGTGGGAGCTGTAAAAAAAAAAAAAGAAAAAATTACACTTACAGAAAATATGTTAGTGTAGCGTAAGGAGAAATATATGTGTAACTTGGTACATTTCCGTTTTTAGGAACTTGCTTCAAGGAAGTGGGCCTTTGCTTCTGACAAAAATTATACAATGATTGCTCACAGCAACACTATTTATAAAACAGTGAAAACTTGGTAACCCCCTCAAATGTCCAACAATGGGGAAATGATTAAAAACTATGACACATTCATAAGACAGAACTCTCTGTAGTCTTAAAAACAATGTAACTGACATTTCTACGTGGAAATGTAAACTTGACAGCACATTCTAATTAGAAATATAAACTGATAAAGAACACAAATGACTTTAGAGTGAAATAGATCATTCGAGATTAAATAGTGCTGAGATTGTTTATTTATTTTTATCTTTGTCAATAATAAAAAAAAAAAAAGACACAAGTATGCTTCACACTGAAGGGAGATGCCAACTTTAAATGCTGGTGCTTTCACTTCTGCTGGAGAATTTTTATCCACGTGCAGTTTACAATGCAGTCAGTCTTTCTGAAGATGCAGAAATCTGTGCTGATGAACAGAACACTGCATTTACTGAAGCTGTAAAGGCCACAGCACAGTCTCCTTGTGTCCACTAAAGTCATGAAAAACTGTTCTCAATTACTCTGGCTCAGGATTTCTAGCATTAAAATCCTGGTAAACTCTTACTGTTTTTCCCCCTCTGGAAGGACAGAGCACCAAGTTTATTATGATTTTTTAAAAACCAATAGAAGATAAGTGAAATGAGCTCATCTTCTTCAGCTAATCATCAGAATTCTAATACTGGGCAAATTATGCAAAATATTAAAAATTTACCATACTGATGACCCAAACCACAATATTAAAAGACCCAAATATCTCTTTTCAGTGCAAATAAAACCCATTTCCTGATCTAGGATGAAGATCTAAGTTGAATATCCCTCAAAATAGCAAAAGTGGTTTAGAAATGGAAACAATTTAAAAATAAACAATTACATAGGTTCTATTAAATAAGGCATTATCTAGATGTCTTCAAGACCTGTTTTAGCTCTAATATTCTAAAATTCACACTCCCCCGCTGCGCCCTGCCCCCAACTCCCCAAAGTCCACTGCTGTCTTTTGTGTGTGTGTCTGTGTGTGTGTGTGTGTGTGTGTGTGTGAGGAAGATCAGCACTGCGCTAACATCTGCCAATCCTCCTCTTTTTCTTTTTTTTCTTTTCCGTTGAGGAAGACTGGCCCTGGGCTAACATCCGTGCCCATCTTCCTCCACTTTATCTGGGACGCCGCCACAGCATGGCTTGCC